TGAGTTGAGGCGTCTTCATCCTCATTTTGGAAAAGCTGTAAAGTAGTTGTTGCTGAGCAAATCTATACCGTTGCTTGGGTATTGTTTTGATAAATATTTGGCAAAATAAGACTACTTCTAGAACTTCTGTAGACTTCTAATTATCCGAGCACATGGATTTTGAAAGATGCGTGTTTAAGGAAATTAAATAAGTTATACTGTTTATAGCAGACCTAAGGCCACGGTTGTTATGGGTTTATGAAGGCCTCTTGAACGCAAAAAGTGATTTTTGGCAGGTTACTCCTTCCTAGGTCCTGGCATGCACATAAATTTTGTTCCATTTAATCTGTTTGCCTTAGTGCCTTTTAAATACACCTAAAAAAAACTACGTGCAAATAATGACCTTAAGAGATATTAAAGCTCAAAGTTATAGTAAAATTTCAAATTTAGTGGTTTCGGAATATGATTTCTAGACAACTAAAAATGTAACCATGTTGAATTTTTACTGTAGAAATCTACCCAGGTTAGCATAAAATTTTTCAAAAAAAATAACTATTCATGTTTTTTTATTTTTTTTATTTTTTTTTTATTTTTCGTCATTTGACACATTTTACAATGTTAACCTTACATTCAAATAAATTTATACAAATGCAAGCTGACTGGGGCAATTAGAAGACAAAATGTCTTATCATCAAAACCCTTCGTGAAAATAAAATTAAAAAATTTTTTTATAATTTCCAATAATATATAAAAGAGTAAAATTAAAAAAAGTTTAAAAAAAAACAAATTAAAAAGTTTGAAAAAATCAAAAAGTTGAAAAAATAATTTTTAAGTTTGACAAAACTAAAAAGTTTGAAAAAATTAAAAAGTTTGAAAAAATAATTTACAAATCCGTACATATGCCCATACATGTCCAATAAACTTCATAATATATATTTAAATATACAAAAGATATCTTGAATTAAAAAAGATTCCGAACATTTTATAGATTTAAGTTCATCTACTCATATTTTTTTTTTAAGCAAAATTAAAACAGACAAACAAAAAGAAACAAGAAGAATATATATAAGAAGGATATATATATATATATATATATATATATATATATATATATATATATATATATATATATATATATATATATATATATACACATACACACACATACACACACATACATACACACACATACACATATATATATATATATATATATATATATATATATATATATATATATATATATATATATAATATATATATATATATATATATATATATATATATATATACATACACACGCAAAATACATATATATATATATATATATATTTTTATTTAAAAAAATGAAAGAATGTATTGTTTAAATTTAGTAAGTGTTTTTTTATAGCTCTTTTAAATATAGATTTTATTTTTTTCATATTTTCGTCAAAAACCGAGTTCCACAAGCGTGGTCCCCGACATGTAATTGAGAAGCCAGACCTTTTGAGTAATATTAGTGGGATGTAGTAATTATTTATTGAGTGTCTTGTTTTATATTTATGATTAATAAGAGAGAAGTTTTTATAAAAATATTTTGGAATTAATTCGTTTTGAAGTTTTAAACATAAATAACAAGTTATGGTAGATGTTTAATTTATATACATTTAGGGCATTTATTTCCTTGAGTAACGGCTCGGCACTTTCGTATCTATCCATGCCCGAAACTAATCGACTTGCTTGCTTTTGTTTTGTGTAAATAGTTTTTAGGAAAGATGAGTGATTGTTTGCCCATGCAATATTACAATAGTTAATATGACTATGTATAAACGAAAAATATAAATTTTTTAAACATATTTTGTTTAAAAGAGGTTTAGTCTTATACATTATTCCTAAAGTCTTTGAGACTTTGTTCTTAACTAGCTTTATTTGGCTTTTCCAATTTAGATGTTCGTCAAAAATTATTCCAAGTATTTTCATTGAAAACACTCTTTATTTTAATATTGTTAATAGTTATTCTGGTAGTTAAGTGGAAGATTGTCGGATTTAGATGGTTTAGCAAACAAAATATATTTTGTTTTTTCAATATTCAACGAAAGCTTATTTGCTATAAACCACTCATTGAGATATGTTAGTTCAGTGTTTACATTACAAAAAATATTTTTTAAATTTGAATCAGAATAGAAAACATTAGTGTCGTCAGCAAAAATAGTATAATTAAGTATTTTTGATGACAAATAAATATCATTAATATAAATTAAAAACAGTAAAGGTCCAAGAATTGATCCTTGTGGAACTCCACAACTTATTGACTCAAATGGGGAGCATGTTAAATCAAATGGCACTACTTGTTTACGATTTTCTAAATAACATTGCAGCCACTTTAAGTTAGAGTGAACTACTCCTTAATTACATAGTTTGTTGATAAGAATCTTGTGGTTGACAGTATCAAAGGCTTTGGATAGATCTAGAAATATTCTGAGAGTGTAACTATTGTTTTCAAAACCATTTAGAATTTGGTTCAGAAGATCAATTACTGCATGCTCCGTGGAATGGTTTTTGCGAAAACTAAACTGTTTATGATAAAGAATGTTATTAGTTTCAAGATAATTGTACAGCCTGTTGTGCATAATACGCTCTAGTATTTTAGAAAAACAGGAAAGTATGGAAATTGGTCTATAGTTAGATTTTATCGAATCATCGCCGCTTTTGTATATTGGAATTATTTTTGCTAGTTTTAGTTGGTCAGGAAAAATGCCGTTTCTTAGGGAAAGATTAAAAATTATAAAAAGAGGTTTCTCAATAATATCAGAGACCGCTTTTACAACATCGGGGTTAATTTCATCTAGACCCGCACTCTTATTTGTTTTCAACATACTAATTGCTAGCCAAAGTTCATCAACCAGAAGCTCCGACTCATCCATTATGGAATCTGATTTTTTCAAAAAGAATTCAAATGATTTACTCCCCTCAGGAACTGCACTGGCTAGTTTTTTCCCTATATTTATAAAAAAATCATTAAATGTTTCTGCAATTTCTTTATTTACAAAAGCATCTCCTATATTACCATCTCTTTGCAATCTTTTTGGGAAATTATCAATTTTTACATTTCAAATGATTTACTCCCCTCAGGAACTGCACTGGCTAGTTTTTTCCCTATATTTATAAAAAAATCATTAAATGTTTCTGCAATTTCTTTATTTACAAAAGCATCTCCTATATTACCATCTCTTTGCAATCTTTTTGGGAAATTATCAATTTTTACATTTTTTTAAATGTAAAAATTGATAATTTCCCAAAAAGATTGCAAAGAGATGGTAATATAGGAGATGCTTTTGTAAATAAAGAAATTGCAGAAACATTTAATGATTTGTAAAAATTGATAATTTCCCAAAAAGATTGCAAAGAGATGGTAATATAGGAGATGCTTTTGTAAATAAAGAAATTGCAGAAACATTTAATGATTTTTTTATAAATATAGGGAAAAAACTAGCCAGTGCAGTTCCTGAGGGGAGTAAATCATTTGAAATGTAAAAATGATAATTTCCCAAAAAGATTGCAAAGAGATGGTAATATAGGAGATGCTTTTGTAAATAAAGAAATTGCAGAAACATTTAATGATTTTTTTATAAATATAGGGAAAAAACTAGCCAGTGCAGTTCCTGAGGGGAGTAAATAATTTGAATTCTTTTTGAAAAAATCAGATTCCATAATGGATGAGTCGGAGCTTCTGGTTGATGAACTTTGGCTAGCAAAAAAAACTACGCCTATTATTTCTTTAATTACATTCCATGTTTTTCTTGTATTCCCAAATGTTTTATTAAGCAATAAGGAATAGTAATTTTGTTTTTGTTTTTTTAACTTTTCGAAAGAATTTTATTTTTTGTATTTTATTTCATTTAAGTAGTTTTTTTTTTTTAATTTTTGGTAGTTTTTTTTTTTTTTTTCGATGACTTAATGAGTCCTTTCGTCATCCACGGACTAGCAAATTTTTAGAATTAATAATTTTTTTAACTTTTGAAAAGGCTTTTTCGTATTGCTTAGTAAACACGCGAGTAAAAAAATCATAGCCATTATTTACATCATTGCAATCAGTCAATACCCGACGGGCATTTGTTTTTAAAAGTTACTTTCTAAATGTGTTTTAAACGTCTTTTAAAAATTTTTGTTTAAAAGACGTTTAAAAGACATTTAAAATACATTTAGATCGTAACTTTTAAAAATAAATGCCCGTCGGGTAGTTCCCAGGTTATTATGTTGCTAAAATTGCCCCACAAAGTAGCGATTGCACTCCTTGCGCAAATATTTTTACAAAATGGGCCAAATTGTGGTACCCAAAATCTCCGAAACGAATAGAAATTTTTGAAAAAAATTACCAGTGGTCCACTCTCATTGTTTTATACAAAATATCTGAAAATAAGTTCATTTTGAAGACATAACTTTCAGACTCTACCTAGATTTCTCAGTCTCCTAAAGACCAAATTTTTTTATAAAATCGTAATTTTAAAATTCGATTTCCGGTCGCTTTTGAAATCAAGTATATATTTTGATTGTATCAAAATATATACCTTAATACTCAAATACGATATACCTTACTACTAATTTATGTTAATTTTTTTTTTCCTGAGCATTTTCTGCAAATGATTTTTAGCGATTTTTATTATTTGCAACAACTCAAATAGCATCAAATATTAATAATGCAGCACAACATTTTAAAGCTATCAATTTTTGTCAAGCTTTGTAATAATTTCAACAGTTCTTAGGCGTGATTATATTTTCTCGAAATTATTTTAACAGCTTTCAGACGTGATCATATCTTAAAAAAAGTTAATTTTAAGAAATTCTAAAATGATGTGACGGCCTTATTATAGATAATGATGTGACGGCCTTATCATAGAACACCGCGGAAGAGCTAATAACTAGAAGTTCGCGTCTCCTTTATTACCAATCTCACAAATGATCATAGCCATTTGTGATATTGATCATCGACCATCAAGTCTTTTGTTTAATATTTAAAAAATATTTTTGAATATCAAACAACATAATAGTTACTATTTTTAAAATTGTTTCGTTAAAATTAATCCTTTACTCCTTGTAAACGCTCACGCATCATGAAAGTACACGCTCACGCATCATAAATGTACACGCCATATCGTAAATTTACATGTTATATCGTTAACAACCATATTACGGATAACGCAGATTTTTGAGTTAACTCGCTTGTTCAAGTTTTTCTAACTCTACCTTATCGTTTACAATTGCAATACCAATACTGTGCGCCGAATGAATTATTGTTTTGCAAATACCAATTAAAGGCGTATTTTTAAAGCCTGGGTCTTGTCCTTTAACTTTTGCTATTTCATATATTTGCCTGAGAGAAACGCTACCAACTATTTCATGACCTAAAAATAACAATTTTTCCAATTAGTAATAATTAAACTATAAGGTGAGGGGATATCTATTTATTGGCTCAGCACCCAGAAATGTCTAGTTGTCGAAAAATAGTAAAGGTTATACAATAAAGTGACAGACAAAACAAAAACAAACGTTTTGCACCCTTAATATATTTTTAAGCTAAACAAGTTGAATTTACACCTCTTCATTTAATTACATCAATACTGGTATTTTCCTAAGAAAATAAGTATTATACATTTTATTCGTTGAATATTTTATATTTACAGGATTAGGATTTACTAACGTCTCATATTTTTTTGTGTTAAAAAAACTAGAGGACTGTTTTGATTATAAAAAAACCATGTTTTTCTGAAAGTTATATTAATATATAATGCAAGAAATTAATGTATTTCAAAACTTTCCCTTTTTTCTTTGATAGCCAAAGAAATGCTGTAATAACTTTTTCTATTGAAAGCTGTAATAACTTTTTCTATTGAAAAAGTTATTACAGCTGGCATGAAGGAGATAGTAAGAAATTTCATCCCTAATTTTAACTAAAAGAACCTTGAAATCATTTAAATTATTGCATTTTACATTTTTTTAATGAATATGGGCTAAATCTTACAGGAAGATATATGGACGATCACCAAATATTTTATTCGCATGAGGTTATACACTTCAAATTCCATTTAAATAGAGCTGCTGATTGACTCTTTTATCAAGAAATTTTAGTGGAAGTTTTCCTTCCTTGGAGAATGTACCAAAAACCAAAACTCCTGATGCATTTTGGTATCGAGGAAAAGGTCTTACACTATGTGGGATTTCTTGCAAACTTACTCCATAAACTCTGTTATTTTGATTGTTAAAGGGACACTCAAATACGAATAATTTCTCATCCGAAAAAAATTATTGGTGGGCCTCCGTGCCGTTTTTTTATCATTTCGCATCTCTTAACATGCTCAAGCTTTTTTCTGTTTATCAGACTAGATGAATTTTTTGTTAATAAGTTTTCATGCATACGTCTGTTTTAATATAATTTCTGATGATTTAGGGATTGGTTCCAAATTCTTTTGCAATTGATCTTCCTGCTCGAGAAGGCTTTTGTCTAATTCTTTCACAAACAACTTTTATGAATTTTTTAGCACAAACTACTAATTTTCTCCGTTTTATTTTTTGGTGGAATTTCATCTCCAGTTTCATTAAAACGTTTTATGTTACGATATACTAACTTGCGGCCACATTTGTAATTTTTAAATAATTAACGATTTCAGTTGATGTAAATGACCTTTTATAAAAACAAACACTCGTTTCTCACGCTTTCTAATTGATTTTTTTTGCCATTTTGAATGTTCCGAAAAAAAGATTATAGGTGTTTCTGAGAACTGATTGTTTCAACAAGCTTTAATCTCACAGTCTACAATGTTGTTTCAAAAAAAAAAAAAACCTGACCCATAATAAAAGATTTTTTTGGTTTCAGTAAGCTAATTTTAAAATTTTTTGAAAGATACGCAAGTTATTAAAAATCTTATTAACAACAAAAAATAGTTTTCTATTTTAAGATACTGTTCTTCATATGTTGTTAATGAGGACGATACTTAAGAACTGATGCCTATTAATTGTTGTTAATGAGGACGATGCTTAAGAACTGATGTCCATTAATTGTTGTTAAAGAGGACGATGCTTAAGAACTGATGCCCATTTGATATTTATTAAAAAATAAAAACAATAATCTTTTTAAACAAAAAAGATGTTTGAATATAAAAAAATAATAGCACATTTACATCATCTACACAATCAAAAAAATATATAAAGCAACGAACCTGGTTTTTGTGCTCCTTTCTCTATTCCAGCTGCTGCTTTTAAAAAATAAGTAGCGGGAGGATTTTTAACAAAGATATCAAATTTACCATCCTAATTATTACTTGTACAGTTAATATATATTAAAAAATATTATACAATTCTAATTTCAAAAGAGACTAGATCTACCACTAAATCACTATGAATTATGATCCTTACTTAGAAATACTACTAACTACTAGATTAGGATTCAAATTCTTAGGATAAATAAATTGATATTTTAATATTCATGACTTTTAATATTAACATACCTTAAAATTTATGACAGTGGGAATAGGAATACCAACTTTCACATTCTTTGTTTTTTCGTTAAACTCTTTAATAAACTGCATGATGTTTATGCCTCGCTAAAGAAAAACAAAAAACTTTTTCTAAAGTAAAGTAAAAATAAGAAAAGCATAATAGCTAGTATTTATCAATAGCATAAAAAAATCTCAATATTCATCAAATGACTTGATTTGGTTGGATTAATTTTGTTTCGAAATTCTTTTTCTAAAAGGATTTGCAAACCACAAATGTCAAAAAAAGATTCGATACTGATTATATAAGCAAACAATGAAAAAATATTTTTCAATATTTTTCAATACTTTCATTTAAATTTTGTGTCGTTATTTCCAAAAATCGTATTACCTAATTTCTCATATTTTATCATTAAAAATTTTTTATATATTTAAAATGAGAAAAAAATATTTTTAACCAATCAAATGTTATTAGGTTGCCATTAAATATTCACTTCTAACAAAGCTGAAGGCAACCACTAATTAAATATTCACTTCTGACAAAACTGAAGGCAACCACTAATTAAATGTCCACTTCTAACAAAGCTGAAGGCAACCACTAATTTAATATTCACTTCTAACAAAGTTGAAGGAAGCCACTAATTAAATATTCACTTCTATCAAAGCTGACTAATAAAATATTCACTTCTAACAAAGCTGAAGGCCACTAATTAAGTTGAGAGAACAAAGAAAAGAGTTAAAGAACCGCAGTTGACAGAAGATTCAAATGTTTGGGTAAAGAAAAAATGCCACAAAAAAAAAAGTAAATGTATGAGTCAGAAAAACTTGGTAAAAAAATTTTCTGAAGCACAGATGTTTAAAAAAAATTGCGGATGATTAAAATTGTTTTTCGAATATGAAGGAATACTTAAAGTAAAAGGATACAATTAGCTGAAAGGTGAGTCTGAACATGTGATAAAGTTTTGATTGATGAAGTGAAGCAGCAACCAACCGCAGGTTCAAAAAGATTAACAACGCTTTTTTGGATTGAAGAATTAAATATTAGAAGAACGTAACTCAAAGATTAAAAAGACGATTAAGAGATTCATAGAGGATCATATTATTTAAATGTCATTATTTTAAATATACTATTAACTCAAAAATAAATTACAATTACATAAATTACAATATGATTAAGTTTGGTATAAAAGATGCCTGGCAAGTAAAAGTACCTAGTACCAATGCAGAAGTGTATCGCTATGGGTAGTATCAATAAATGTACCATAATTTCAACAGCATCACAAATGCTAACATAGCATAATTATTATCTTTAGTTTTTGGTTTTAATCTTGTCACAAATCAGGAGGTGGAAAAATTTACAATGATTTACTAAGCAAAAAGTTTTTAACTCCAAAAGTAATAGAAGATAAATCATTCTTTAAATATTAAATTATAAATTAAATTATAAACTTTTTATAATTTAATTTATTTTTATAGCTTAATTTAGGTTCAACTTATGGTTTATTTAGTGTCGATTGAAGACAATCACAAAAAATTCACAGAAAAAACCTATTTAGTTTCTGTGTAATAAGATAATAGATAAGATTTCATAACATGGAGATAATCCACTGTTCTTCCATCATAAGTATAATCAGTACATACGGTTTTTAATTGGTTTCTTTAAAAAATTCAACTTTTTGTAGTTTGATTCTGGTAATTTGTTCTAGTCATTTTTGAAAAACAGATTTAGATTTCCTTTCACAGCTTTTTTGCTTCATATCATGTAAGTATGGGTACATTTCATTTATCTTTATGTTTCTTAGTTTAGAGGTGAAACCAATATATTTTCAGAAGTTGACTTTAATAAAGATTGTTCTTTTTTATTGTGTATTCAATTCTTTGGTAAAATAAACTTGCAGACATTAAGGTATGATTAAGCTTAAAATATAATATCTTTTATTTCTCGATTTTAGATTCTACAAAATTGATTATGAAAAATAAACAACAAAGAAAAAACCAGGACTTGTTTTGACTACTGGAATTATTAAAAAATAGTGAAATTTATGTGTAATGTTTAAACATGTGAAATGTTATAAAAAATTTGTGTTAGGAGAGAGCAGTAGTTGATATTTTTACTTTGTCTCTTTTCTCCATTTTGAACAAAAGTTTTATGATATTCTATTATAAAAGTTTTATATATTCTATTTGAGAAAGCATAACCTTTTGCAAATCTGCTGGCACAATAAAGGCATCTTTATCCAATTGAATCTACTTTAGCATATCTTTAGTAAATTGGTTGAAGCTTATTAGTGAATTGCTTGTTATGACTTTATGCCTTACGCAACTCACAATTTTCTTCAACATGATTTAGACTTTCCATTAAATGTATTTTGAAACTTTCACATAATTCACATTCTTTATTTCCTAAGAGAGTACTTCTGACATTTTTGACTTGTTGATACAAACTATAGAAAGGAGTAAATTTAAAAATGAATCCAAAATTCATTTCCCAAATATTTTTAAAGTTGCTTGGAAGGTATTGAGCACTGGTCGCATGTTTCCGTGTTTGTAAAAAATGTGAGGGTTGAATGTTTCTATATATTCTTTTTTTTTTTTTTTTTTTTTGTAAATCCAGAATTTCTTGTCTACAATTTCTGCTAAAGTTACTCTACATACGAAGTTATTAATTGTTTTTTTGTGTCATTACCCAACCAAATTGTTTACATAATAAAGTACTTATATTATATCAAATCTCATTAATTTGAAAACTGCATTACACTGATTATGCTTATGACAACAGTGTTATAGGGTGTGACTCACCCATTAAAAATGTCCAATATAAATGCTAACAAATCATTTTCTCTAGAATTAAGTGAAATGAAAATTAAAGAAAAAAAAAGTGATAATTTTGAGTTTGGAAACATTGAAAAAAAAAATTATTATCAACCAACATAACAGATAAACTAACAGAAGACCAGCAAAATGATAAGACAATATTTCACAAAAATGGAATTGAAAACCATAAATTGTTAAATTCACAGATCAAGTTGAAAAAACAACACCAGTACTATTGAAATTGAAAAATCCTGATAATCAAGTTGATGTGATGAAATCAGCCAAAATAAGTTTAAAAATAAATTTAAGACGTATTAATCTTGATTTAACCACAACATAATGTGAAAAAAAAAAAAATTAAAAATGATACTGAAATCGTTTAATCACTTGCAAACTTTACAAATTTGTTAGCTTCTCAAAGTATGGTCAACAAATGTAACAAATGTAACTAAGAAACTAATGAAGCCAGAACACTATTTTATACATACCAGTCTAACACAACTTTTGTTTTTAAGTTTTGGTTTAAACAAACATCTGAAAAACTACAATGTGTTTAGGATCAGGATAATAAAAGAGGTGGTAAAGTTTGTATATTAAAAATTCAATTGATTCTTCAGTAAGAAAAAAGAAAATGTTATAACTAAAACTTGTCCAACCCATACAAGAATGAAAACAGTTTAAATAAAGATTACTCTTATGTGATATTACTCATTTCTATGGGTAATATGTAGCTATGACAACAAAATATAATGGTATAAACAAACAAAAATTTTATTTTATTTTTCACATTCAAACTAGCTAATTATTTATTAAATAAAAAAAGAACTTCTGAAAGAAACAGAATAAAAATTATAAGTAATAAACAACAAACAAATTACCTGACCTAATGCTGGACCAAGAGGAGGCGAGGGTGCTGCTTTTCCTGCAGTGATGTACATCTTAAAAATTCCGGCTGTCTGTTTAACTGCCGCACTTTTGGCAGCTACTTTTTTGGCAGACATTGATTTTAGAGAATATTTATTAGAGATTGTATGAATGACAATTTAAATAAATTCTTAAAATAAAATTTTATTTGAATTAAAAAATAAAAAACTTTAAAATTTTTTAAAAGCATAATTAAATGTCAAACATCAAACACTATTTTTAAAAATATTACACTAAAATTTAAATTTAAGATTAAAGACAAGTCTGTTATTTTGAGAGTGGAATAACCAATTAAAAAAAATTTGTTAATGACACAAAAAAATATTTCATGTCTAAAAACATGCTAGATAAAATTGGAAAAAGGAACACCATGCTTATTCCATGACATAAAAATGCAAAATCATGGACATCTAACATCATCAAAGTTGAATTTGAGTCCTTGTACCCCAATTGAAGAAAAATCACAAAAGAAAAACTAAGTGATCTTTTTGAGCTCCTACAATTCATACCCCTGTCCATCAACCCTTTTATCTAGCTCTTAAAGGTGACCAAGAGGTATTTATTTGGGGTACTGATTTGGGTCTAACTGATATAAGAGGTACTGATTTGAGTCTAACTGATATAAGAGGTACTGATTTAGGTCTAACTGATGGTTCTGGTAACAAAGACACAAATTAGAGCATGTTACATATATAGAAGAATCATTCACAAGTCATAGACACAACATAGTATTAAACACAAGGGAACCGATCTCGCCTTTGCCCCAAAATTCAATTTTGGGAGAAAATACGCGGTTTTTGTTCTGGTAGAACCAAAACTGCGTAAAAAGAATCTAAGCCTATCATTAGTGTGCACCATTCTGTGACAGGAACCAACCTATTTATTTGTATTATTGAGATCCAAACAATTTTTTTTTTTTCTCAAAACAAACTTTTTTAAGGTTGGTTTCTTTGTGTTTAACACCATCCATATATTCTTTAAATGAAATGGAAAAAAAAAATTAATAAAAATTTATTTAAAAAAATCTTAGTTTGAAAAAAAAGCCTAATAAAAATTTTGTAAAATATTGGAAAACATGCAAAATGTGCCTTAGTTCAAGTCATATTGATGTTCAACTCCTATTGAAGTTAAAGTCCTATTGAATTTGAAAAAGTTTTAAAGACATTAAAATAATAAAACATTTCTAACAACAATTTATTTAAACTTGATAACCATAATAAAAAATAACACTTGTAATCTTAGCTTATAACAAAATTAAACTATAAACTAAAAAGTTAGAACCAAACTTAACTATATACTAAATCCAACTATAAAAAAATCTTTAAAGTTTAAAAAATTAAAAACAATGAGTTAAATTGCTGAAAACATATGAACAAACAACAGTCACAAAATTCTCAATAAATTAGAAAAACCTTTTATGTAAAACTAAATACAAAGCTTATAACTGCAAGTAAAAAAATAACATAAGCATATGGTCGTACTCTTAAAATGTACTTAAAATCAATTTCCATAAAGTAAAAATGTGCAACACCAAAAGCAATGCTAAAAAACTTCCGTACTTGATAATATTCGAAATAAGCATTTATCAAAATCAATTGCGCCACAACACCACAAATAATAGAAATTTTTTTTACTGCTTGATTGTTATCAAATGAAATAAAACTAGTGAAGTATGGTATCATATCAGTTCCGTAAAAATTCCACAAGGAAAACATTGAATGCAGCAGAAGCTGTACCATTGCAAAGAAAATTAAATCACTATGTTGCATTTTATAACAAGGAAAAAAGGCCAAGCATAAAACTGCAAGTCCAGATAAAGAAATGGCTTTGTTCAACTCTACTAAAGAATGACTAACACCTTTTGTAAAAAACAAAACATCAATGAGCTTCTGAACTACTAGTTTTTTCTGAACTTTATCGTACATTGTGTAAAATAACAAAAAAGATAATAATACAAGCAAAGAAACTTGAAGAGCAGAAAATTGTTTTATAAGATTTATCAATTCATTTAACATTTTTATAAGAATCTAAAAAAAAAGTTTTTAATAACTTTTATAATAAACAACTAATATTAACTTTTAACCAAAAACAATTATAAATTTAATGCCATAAAATTGATGCTAAATATTTATTAATAAATATTTATGATAAAAATATACATGTAAAGTTGCTTTAAAATAAAGATCACTAAAATCAGATTCAAAAATCAAAATATAGGAATGTAAATATTTGCAAAATCCACTTTTGTTTTTTTCAATGCCAAATGTTTTCCTTTCATTACTTTAAGTATAACTTTTTTTTCCTCTGGTATTTGGATAATATTACACAGTTTTTGTTGATGAAAAAGTTTTTGTTTACGAAAAAATTCAAATTTAACTTTACTACCATTCAATTTGCATATTTTTAATATCTCAGGTGACAACTTGTTTTCAACTTTACTCAATTTTTTAAGCTCTTCTTTAATCAAATCAAAATTTCCACTAGATTGACGTAAAATCTGCAAATTATTTCCATTTTTAGATGTCATCCAAACTTTAGATGTTTTATTCTCAGCGTGTATATGCTTTACATGCAAGCAGCGTGACAAAAATCTCTCACCGTATTGTTCATATAAAATATTGTATAGGTCTGATGTACTAAAAAAACAGGTTTCTGTTATTGCACAGTCATTAATGAATAACGAAGCCAAAGCATCACACAAAGAATCTTGCACAAGCAGATTTTGTTTTTCTTCTGAGTCACTATTTATGTAGCAAATCAGATTTTTAAGATGTGGTAGGAGAGCTTCATTGATTGCCTAATAATTTGCATAGATAATAAAGCTACTTAAAAAATTATTTGAAACAGATTAAAAGTAAAAGATAAAAATAAATAAAATAAAAATATATTCATAACAAGCAAAAAAAATAAAATAAAACATAATAAAAAATAACATAAAAAGTTATAGAGTTAGTAAGTTTGTCCAAATTAAAATTTCAAATTATTTAAACTGAAAAATTTAAGCTAAACACTTTTCTACCTGTTTATTATTAATCTATCAAAAATTATTTTTACAATAAATATTTTTCTCCATTAGATATCTCTTTTTGCTATCTGCAAAACACATTTACATTATCAAGTTAACAGATTAAAATAAGGGAAAAAAGATAAAATCATTAATTTTTTCTTAATTGATTGGTGTCCTAGTTAAAACCTAAAACTCATTAAAAATGGGGAGCCTAATTGCAAATAAGGTATTCAATATGATTTGGAACTGAAAGATTTTAACTTAGTTTATTAAGCTCTGCTCTCAGTATGTTTATGATACAGAATGTTTCTTAAAAGATATAAGCTTTTACCTAAATTGTTAGCGCTACCTAAATGGTTAGAGTTTATTATTACTCAATCTTTAGTATTTTATTTGTAAAAATCAAGTTTTTACTTAGAGGAAAAAAATGTTTCACATAAATTTTTAAGATCAAAAAAGTGCTCAATTTTACTCCATAAAACACTGATAAGCATAAACAAATAAATAAATAACTATATATATATATATATATATATATATATATATATATATATATATATATATATATATATATATATATATATATATATATATATATATATATATATATATATATAATAAAATAATAAAATATATTTTAAATGACAAAATAAACTTTTAATTTAGAAAGAAATTATAATAACTTTATATTTAAAAAGTTAAAATGTTCAATTGTAGAGGAGATCAGTATTAAAATAACCAATATGAAAAGTCACAAATCAAAATGTCTATTTTTAGGCCAGTAAAACATCTAAAAATGTATATTTTTAAGCCAGTATAACACAGATTGAATACAAACTAGGGCCACAAGTTTTAAGAGAGTTTTTGAAAGTTCTGTTGAAAGTTTGTCCAAAAGTATTGATAACATAGGCAATCAAATTGAATTTGATTTATGCATTTTTGAGTAAAAATGAGTTATTGCATTTCTTGAAAATAATCTACAAAATTTTGTTGAATCTTTAATTTGCCATACTTTTTATGTTTTTAATAATTTAAAGTTGACTCTACCAATACTTATTTCAGTACAACTGCTGTTTATTTTTTTTTATTATAAATCACTATGAAATAACCATAAAAATAAAAAGCATATTAAAAAAAGATAAATTATTCTACTATTTGGTTTTGTGTATAAAGTGCAATTTATAGTTGATGAACATTACTCAATTTATTTAATAAAATTCTTTTTTATAAGAAACAAGTACAAGCCTCAAAATCTTAAAAAACTTTTAGTAACAAGTTAATTTTCAATAAGATACTTATTTTTATTTCTTAATTTTTCATCTACGTATCACATTAATATAACATGAAACTAAAAAACATAATCTCCAATGAAGACAACATCTTAAACGAGTATTTAAGCTGCACACGCAATGAAATAGAATTCCATTTAATTGATAAAAAAAAATAAAAAATTGCAAATATATGTTACCATGAGAACATTTTATAGTTAAATAAATATTATTTAAGAATATTTTTTCAATTTTAAATTTATAATGATGGTTTGAAGTAACTTTCAGTTTGCTAAAAAATCTAAAAATTTGGTTATTTCAGTACTGATCTTACATTTGAAAGAATTATGTATGTAAAAGTTTTTTTTTTTTTATTAGAAATAAAATTTATTTTATTGATAAAGTTTTACTAAAAACCTTGTATCCCATGAATTTAATTGAAGAAATTACACCAAACAAACTTTCAATAGGGAGTGCACTGGTCAATTTTTCATTTAACATTTTAAGAAGTTGGTACAATAGGTTAGGATGAATCACTGAATACTTGCTAAAATGAATAAACTTTTATTACATAAAATATTTGTTTACAATTTATACATATATAAAAACAAGTTATACATATATATATATATATATATATATATATATATATATATATATATATATATATATATATATATATATATATATATATATATATATATATATATATATATATATATATATATATATATATATATATGTATATATATATAAAACATTAAAAGCACACTTAGATCGGCAATCTGATGCCAGGTCTTGCGATAAAGCATCAGGCGATGTGAATTTTACGTCGTCCAAGAGCGATTTTGCATGTAGCTGGGGCTATTTGTGTCAAGCAAAAGATTTTTTGTTTAAGTATATTTAAAGATATTTTTGAGCGGAGTTTTAATGAAGTAATTTACGATTATTTTAACATTTAATAAAGTATTTTGAAAACCGCACGCAGTTGATATAAAAGTTTGAATTACAAAAAAATTAAATAAGCTCATTATTTACAAGTAGAAAAAATTCAGATTAAAAAAAAAGTTTAAATCTTTTAAAGCTAACAATTTTAATAAAATTATTCAGCAATAGCAAAGTTGTCGATAAAATTTAACAAAAATACTTTCTTTTAGTTTTAGATTTTTAACTTAAATAATTATTTTACGAGGGGTTTGTTTGGTTTTAAAATTATTCCATAGATTTAAAAATATTTATTAACTGTTAAATGTATTTAAAGTATTTAAGAGTAATTTCGAGGAAACATTTTAAAAATTGGTAAGCGCAAATAAAAAAAATAAAAGGAATAATATTAAAACGTATTCTACTCGATTCAATAAAAAAGTACAGCTATTAAAATTTTTGTAAAAAGTAACTCGAAAAAAATTACTTAAATAATAACAATCGCTTTTTTGTTAAAAGTTACTGAAACTCAACGAAGCTGTTGAAAAATAGAATGTCAATAGTTTTTCGAATAATTTTTAATAACAATTTTTTTGCTGAAATATGTCTTTTATACCTATAAGATTTTTATTCTAACATTTTATTTTATTTTATTTTACCAAAAATAAAATTCCTTGTGAACATTAAAAATCTATTCAAAACTTTTGTTAAAGTTTTTTAGTTATACGAGTGATTGTGCTCATCAACCGCTTTATGAAAATAAATAAAAATATATAAATAAATATTATATAAAATCGCTAGTAAAAATATTAGCTATTGCACATTTTGTAATCGTACAAAATTAAAAATGCCAGTTTATTACTCGCTGACTTTTTAAAAAGAAAAAAAAAATATTTGAAAAACTTTAAATTACATATTTGAGAAAAAAAAAATCAAATGTTAGCATATTTTATAATCTTTTTTAAATGTTTAGTTATAATGTTTTTTATTCGTTTAGTATAGACAAAACGTGTCAAACATCGAGAACATAAACAAATGTTTTTACATTTTAAAAAACAAAACATTCCAAAACATATTTAAATAATAACATTTCTACATTAATGATTTAATTAGTTTTGTGGTAATTAAGTAAATTGGTGCAGTTAATGTCGATAAATATGAAAAGCAAATAAAAAGAACTTAATGACGTCAAAAATCACGTCATGCTTATGCGTCGCGCAGTTTTTATTCATCACAAGGCCTGTGACACCATACTGATTTTGGGAGAACATGCAAGGAAGTTACTGCTGCATTAACTAAATATAGGTATAGGTTGGAGCAACAATAATTTTTTTTTCTTCTTTCTGTAGTAAATGTCAGCATTTTGGCATAAAAATTTTTTATCTATATATGCTTTAGTATATGTGTTTTTAGTAAATGTGTCTAAATGTACATTTAATGTTATATATAATATATAATATATAATATATAATATATAATATATAATATATATATATATATATATATATATATATTATATATATATATATATATATATATATATATATATATATATATATATACATATATATATATAAAAATCAACCTGCATATCTTAACAAGAACAAAAGCAGCAGTATGATGAATATTCCACTCTTCAACACAAAGTTTTACATCTGATACAACAATTAACACACTTTTCATCAATTCAAATATCTACAATGAAGTTTTAAAAGTGAAAAAAAATAATAATAATAAAAGTAAAATAAGGTAATAATTATATATTAGTTTGAAATAAGATAATGTTTAAAATAAGATAACGTTTATTTGAAATAAGATAACATTTAAAGATAACCTAACAGATATTTAAAAGAAACAAAACAAATTCAACAGTGTGCTGATTATTGAAATATTGATGTTACTTTGAAAAGCACACACATATGGTACAAGAAGGACTGAATCATTTTCAATTAAAGCATTGATTGCCAGCAAAACAAAACCAAGCACAGATGAAAATGATTTTTTTGCAGTTGTCAACTTTATCTATATTATAAATAAAGCAATAAATAAAATAAATTACTATAATATGTTGAAAAAGAACATAAATAAAAATTAATTGATATACAAATAAAAATGAAAAAACCTTCGAACACAAAAAAGTAATGAGATGAGGCAACACAACTTGGAGCTTATTATTTGATCTCAAATCCATCAATGCAACCTTAAAAAAATAACTTTTAATTTAAATTTTTTTTAAATATATATACATACACACACATATATACATACACATATATTAAATACATACACATATACACATATATTAAATACATACACACAAATAGATACATACACAAATTTTTTCTGCTAGTCTACATAATCTCAATCTTTCAAAAGAGTTTCCCAAATTTTATTATAAAATTGTTACAAAACTTACAAAATTGTTCTCCAGAACATTCTAAATTTAATAAGTGCTTGTCTGAGTCTAATTTTTCCTGCTTGCTGGAAAATGGCATCTGTTGTACAAGTTTTCAAAAACTCGGAAGAACATTCTGACCCCTCCAATTATTGTCCGATTTTTTGAACAAGTATTTATCTTTCTGTTATTAGCAAGAGCTTTGAGTCTGTGATCAACAAATTTCTCACACCCCATATTAGGTCAAACAACTTACTGTCACACAATCAATATGGTTTTCAATTCTCTTGCTCTATAGCTGACTTGCTAACTGCTGTGAAAGATTTTGGTACACTTGGTACACCTTCTCTATAAGCATATGGTGTATCTGGGAAAGTTTTTGAATTTATCAAATCATTTCTTTCTAATGGCTTTATTAAAGTTAGCCTCAAAGGCCAACACTCTGCTTCATTTCCAGTAACTTCTGAACCTTAAGGTTCTATGCTTGATCCTGTTTTGTTTCTTATCTATATTAATGATCTTCTCGACAACCTTACATCTAAAGTAGTTCTATTCACTGATGACTCAAGTTTATACTCCTGTATTGACTAAAACTCTTCTCACTTTTGTAACTCATTGGGGCTCACAGTGGTAAATTTTAACCTCAACAAAATTCAGTTATTTACAGCAAACAACTATCGCAGTACTGTTAAAATTCCTATATGATTGAATGACAACTCTCTCACCTCTGAACCCTCTTCTTTACATTTTCTTGGATTATCATTTACTTATGACTTTTCATGGAAATATACAACTGATTGCTAATGGAAATATACAATCGATTGCTAAATTAGCAGCTGCTAAGGCAGATGCATAGATGAGTTTTTGACTTTGTAAAAACCCCGGAAATTATTTTCTATGAAAATCCCGAAACATTATTTTAATATAAAAACCAGAAAATCCCAGAAAATTATATGGTCAACAATTTGACCAAGGTATGTGGGTAAATTCTGGAACGTTGGTAATAGAATAAATAAAGTAAATAAAAACTACTGAATTGAATATAATATCTCAGTTTTACCATAAACAATGTGCATAGCATTATAATTTACTTTTTAAATATAAAATGTCAGACTTGGTTCAGAAATTAAAACTTTTTATTCTTATAACTTAATGCTGCAAAACATTTGTCAGCTTTTCTTTTTCTGCACTTTGCTGCATGATCATTAATAAATTCTTTAACTGTTTTGCATTGTTCATGTGAGGTAATTTTTTTTGAATTTATATTATAAAAACTTCTTCAACTTTTCTGTTTTTCCAATGGAATTAAATTTTTTTTAAATAACGTTTGCTTGCAGTTTGCAAATGACCACAGATGTTTTTGTTAATTGGTTCATGTAATATATCTCATCTTTAAAAGTACCCTAGTGCTGTGGTCTTGTTTGATACTTAACTGAAGCTATAGCTGAGTACATTGAAGTATCAAGACAATTTATCTTTTTGTTAACTATGGTGTTCATCATGCTGAATGCTTGCTCAACTTGAGGACTACTGAATATACTTAGGCATGCCTTGAAAATTTTACTACGCTCTAAATATTTTTTACACTTAAAGACATTTGTCCACCAATAGTCAAGTGGTTTAGGTTAAACTAATAAAAAATAACCAAACTGTAAGTGGTGTTACTTGCAATTTAAAGATAGACGGCAATGGCTTACATTCTTATTGTGTCTATCATTAACAATGATTATTATTAAATTTGAATAATTTAAAATAAATAAAAAATAAAAAAACTGTTATGGAAATTGATATCGTGAAAATTTCAATTATAGAAAACATATTTGTTTAAATGCAAACGTTGTCGTATTTAAAATTTTATATAATTTTTTTTAAATTAATAACAAAAACTTACCGGAAATGTCTGGAAAATTAAAGGAGTTTTAAGTGAATTTCCGGAATTCCGGGTATTCTAGGAAAATTATCTATGGGCAGATGCTAATTTAGCAATTGATTGCTTCTCTTTATTGTGTTCACCATTTTCACTGTCCTGATTCCATTCTCTGCCTCGACAAATCTCTTATTTGTCCCTGTATAGAACACTGTTGTAATGTTTAGGCTGGTTCTTCCAATGATGTTTTTTCTCTTCTAGACAAGGTCCAAAAACATTTTGTAAATGTAGTTAGACATGCTCTATTTGCTAATTTTGAGCCTCTTTCCCATCGTCTTAAAGTTGTATTATTTATATATTTCTCTTTTCTAAAATGCTACCATGGTGGCTGCTCATTGACGTTGCTCACATCATACTACAATGGTGGCTGCTCATTGACGTTGCTCACATCATACTACAATGGTGGCTGCTCATTGACGTTGCTCACATCATACTACAATGGTGGCTGCTCATTGACGTTGCTCACATCATACTACAATGGTGGCTGCTCATTGACGTTGCTCACATCATACTACAATGGTGGCTGCTCATTGACGTTGCTCACATCATACTACAATGGTGACTGCTCAAAGGAGTTATAATCTCTAGTCCTATCAACTAAAACTCATTCTTGCTTTACTCGTCACTCATAAAAGTTTCATTCTTTTACTGTATCTGTCTCTGCATACTCCAAAAACTTTTATTCGTCTAGTCTTTTTAACCGCACTTCAACCCTTTAGAACTTTCCCCCATCTTCATATTTTCCTGACTCAGACAAATTACAACTTTTAAAGTCTTCTGTCAACTGTTTCCTTGCTCTCTAAGGTAGTCTCTCTTTTCAAACCTCTATTCCGGCATTAAGCATCCTTAACATCCGAAAACTGGGATTTTAGGAAATAGGCAAATTGGGATATATAGGGATAGGCGCTTCGCAGTGTACATACATCGACTGATTTATTTAGCCATAGACAGAGTGAGTGTGCATCCATTGAACTAAATGAATTATCTATTTCATGTTTGCTGACTTAAAGGAGATTGTCGGAATAGAGGTTTGATAAGAGAGCTTACCGCTCAATAACTCTTTTTTTTTCTTCCTACTAACTCTCAACTTAATAGTGGTTGCTTACAGCCTTGTTGAGAATGAATTAGAAGAAAAAAAATGAATTAAACAAAAGTCCAAAGAATTATATTTAGCAAGAATTAAAGCACTTTTGATTAGAAATTAAATTTGACAAGTTTTTGGTATTTTTTTAACTGTTTATAATTTTAACTTTTTTATTTTTTTTTACCAGACACGATAATACTAATTTTTAATTAAATTGGTAATTAGTACAATTACAAAAGTTATTAAAATTTCTAATTAAAATTAAATGATTAAAATTGCTTTTAATCTTGTTAAATATAATTCTTTATACTTATGTAATAAAATGATAACTTAGCTAGATTTTGAAAGATTGAGAAAGAAGAAAAAATTTTAGTTATTATTTAAGGTATTTTGAGTCATTTTTTAGGATTTTTGTTTATAAAATAATTTTGTATTAATAATTGTATATATTTTTAAAAATGTACATATTATTTACCAATATCAAGCACCTAATAACTTATAATCATCACCTATTGTCTATTATCATATTGTCGCCTCAGAGCAAAAATGTTCTATCTACAAGTTTGGAAAAATTGAGATGAACGTGTAGATAAAATACTATCCGTATTAATTTAAAGGAAATATTTTGAAATAAATATAAAGTATTGAATTATTATTAATTTCTGAGAAAATCATTTTATTATAAAGTAACAAAATTTTGATTTGTGATATCTAAACTAAGTTTGTTTTCAAAGCCCTGAAAAATGCAAATTTTGTAGATAGAACATTTTTGCTCTGATAAGAACATTTAGGCGACGATATAGATCTATATTGGATAAAATCTCAGAACAACTAAAAGCCTTTTTAATTTATTATCAAAATTTTTGTTCTATAAAAAAAAATGGGTAAAAAATATGCAATCAAAGTAAACTAAACATCAGTTATCACTAAACACAAAATACTTCTAAATATTAAAAAATTGTTAAAAAGTCAAAAGTATTTTCAAGATTTATACTTTCAAATTATACAATCAAAATTATTGCTAAACTAAACTTTTTATTATTTATACCTGATGTTCTCTTATTCTTTTATATATATATATATATATATATATATATATATATATATATATATATATATATATATATATATATATATATATATATATATATATATATATATATATATATATATATATATATATATATATATACTTACTAAAGCGTGTTTTGATAAGCATTTGCTCACTTTTTTTGCTTACCTTAACCTATACCATTTTTTTCGAAAAAGAAGAAAAAACAAAGAATGATGAATGAAACGATTGCTTCCCCATCCCAAACCCTTAGTCGATGTAGCAGCACTCCACTGTGAGTCAGGTTATTTGTCAGTCGATGTATGTACTGAAGCTCGCAGCAGCAGGCTATTTCAGTATGACGTCAGATTGTTTACCTTAGTACGCAATACTATTTGTATATATATATATATATATATATATATATATATATATATATATATATATATATATATGAGTACATATCAACCCTCAGAATTATGTTAAATAATTATATTTAACCCTAAATATACAGGCCTCGGCGGGAAGCGAGAGATAAAGTAGCACTCGCTTCCCACCGAGGCCTGTATATGTATATATATACGCACACACACACATACACACACAGATATATATATATATATATATATATATATATATATATATATATATATATATATATATATATATATATATATATATATATATATAAACAAACAAGCGATCGTGTGCGATCGAATGAGTGGAAAATGTTGCTTAAAGAATCATATAAAATGATTTGTTGAACTCTTAAATATAGATTTCTGATGTCAAAATTGATCACAAAAGATCACAAAAACTCAATTTGAAATTTGAATAAGTAATGACTTACCTTTCTCAGGTGTTTACTGTGGCTCAATAAAGCATGTGTTATATTTGAAAAATATGAAGAAATTGGCTGTAAAAATAAATTACAGAAAATTATAAGATTTATTATGGAAATAAATAAATACTAAAAATCTATAAATGAATGCACAATTAATCTTTATTGTTACCTAAAAACACTTTTGTTTATTTTTATTATTTTTTATTTTATTCTTTTGTTTATTTTGTTTAAGCCTAAGAGAATCAATCAGAAAGCAGTATACCTTATTAAATTTTTTTTTTAATCAACAAAACAACAATAGCCTTAAATAAACTCTAACGCTGTCATAGATACCTCATTCGAAATATGACAACCAATCAAAAGTGTAGGAAAATGAGCAGCCTGCGAAACCCAAAATCATAACAATAATTGAATAATATATGATAGCAAAAAAGAACGTTGCACAAAAACCTTAAAAATGTAAGCGGCATATATGTAAACATTTAATGAAGGATATAAAAATATGCTCTAAATAATAATAAAGATAAAAAATGTGCATGTGAAAATTAAAACAAAGCTGAGCAATGAATGCAACAAACAGTAATAATATGAAAATCAGGAGATAAATAATATATCAACAAACACTGCAACAAGACTAACTAAATATTGCAATAAAACCAGATAATTTTAAGCCAAATGAGTGGTTAAAAAACTAGCCATGGATAATATAACAACAATATAAGTCGTAATGTAAAAACGATGTACAAAGCGGGAAAAAAATTATTAAAAACTGAAGTTTTCTCTACGGTCCGAACTAAAAGAAACTTTGAGACCATATCTAAATCAAAATTTCCAAAAAGTAATATTTCCTCTATGGTCAGAATTAAAAGTAACTTTGAGACCATATCTAAATCGAAATTTCTGAAAAGTAAAGTTTTCTCTACGGTCCTAGAGATCGCCGGTTACAGTATACGGTATACTAACTTTACGGTATACTTTACCGTATAGTTGGTATACTAAAAATTACTATACCAATTAGTATACCTGTTATTTATGAAATATTTTTAAAATGATTTTATAATTCAATAATGATATTATCTTAATTGATTAAATAATTGTATTATATGTATTACGTGATTACTTTTTTAGATAAATAATACAATATTTATTAATAATAAATATAGTATTATTTATAGTAGTATTAAAAGAATTATCATTTATTAAAGTGTTGTTTTTTTGTAATTTAACTTTTGAAAGGTTTTTAAATTTATTTATTTAAATTTTAATTGTTTTTTGTTCTTTTTTATTTGTTTATTGTATGTATAAAAGTAACATGTTTACTCTTACCTTGAAGTAAAATATTTAATGTCAGAACAAATTTACCAACATATCTCTTTTTTTGGAAAAGGTTCAACAAGAAAAATTTATTGCAAATATTGTGATAAACAAATTACACCAAAATTAACATTAAGATGGGAGCAGCATTTGAGAGGATGTAGAAAAACGTCTGATGAGGTTAAGTTGTGCTTTAAAAAAATAAAAAAAGAAGTTCAGAGTGTTATAGTTGAAACAAAAAGATATGATAATATGGCTTCATGAAAATTTAGTTTTCAAAAAATCTGGGCAGCCTGCTAAAAGAACTATGCTAAATTCATACTTTGGCACTATAAGCAAAGATGACATTGATAAGATAGATAAATCATATGCAAGGACATTTTTCCATACAGGAGTACCTTTTGCATTAGCTGATTCTTCTGCATGGAAGCAACATCATGCTAATCTTAGACTTGCATATAAACTTCCATCTAGTAAATGTATAAGTGGGCGTCTTTATAAAGATGCATTAAATGATGAAAAACATGCAATAAAAAAATATGTTGATAGTTCTGAATACGTTAGTATAGTGACTGATGGATTTTCAAACATTAATGTAAATCATCTTGTTAGTTATTCAACTCATGTTGAAAATAGGACTATGAAACCTATTGCTTACAAAATTGAGCCTACTGGTCAAGAACAGCTAACTGGCATTAATATTGCAAAACGCATAGAAATTGTAATTCTTGAAATAGGTGTTGATAAAGTTACAAGCATTGTTACTGATAACGCATCAAACATGAGAGCTGCATGGGATATTATTGAAAAAAAATATCCAAAAATATTTTGTAATGGTTGTGCTGCCCATACAATAAATCTTTTAGTAAAAGATATTTGCCTTCTTCCTGAGTTTGTGGATATTTTACAAAAGTCTGGAAAACTGACAGCCTTTGTTAAACAAAGAACATCACTTATCGATCAATTTCGTATAATTCAAAATCGTGTTAAACAAGAAAATAATTTGAAGAAAATGGGAGCATTATCACATGTAGTTTTAACACGGTGGTATAGCCATCATACATCTGTTGCCCGTAATCTTGAAAACAAACTAGTTCATTTGAATTTAATTAACTCTGGTGCCTTCTCACGTGTATCTATTTAAAAAAAAAAATCAGATTATGTAAACATTGTACAAGACAATTTTTTTTTGGGAAGAATGTCAACGTTTTATTAATGTTATGAAACCATTATCAAAATTAGTAGGTAAACTGGAATCCGATAGTTGTCTACTTTCTAAAGTTTATATAGGGTTTGTTAACTTATTGGAAATATGGAAGGAAGACGCAGTATTGAAAACTCTTGTTTTAAGCAGATGGGAATTTATTCACACGCCATCTATGGGATTTGCATACTTTCTTGATCCACCAAATCATGGTGGCAGAAATATGTATACTGAGTCTCCTCCATCTAGCAAAAGTGATCTTGTTATAGTACTTGAGTTGCTTCCAAAGTACATAGTTGAAACAAGAGGACTTTGCAATTATGAAATTTCAAAAAAAGAAATAAAATCATTTCAGAGGCTATGTGCAAATCCGACTCCAGATTTTGCAACTCAGATTAAATTAATGGATCCTGATATCTGGTGGGGAGTTAAGGGTGCAAGTAAATTTCCAAATTTAGCAAAGGTTGCACAAATAGTCTTTACTATTCCAACTTCTCAAGCTGCAAGTGAGCGAATATGGAGTTTGTATGATTTTATTCATTCAAAGCGAAGAAACCGACTTGCAAAAGATAAAGCAATTGGATTGGTTCTTATGTATGCAAATGCAACACTCCACAAAAAAGAAGCAAATATTGCTGATATAATGCTTGGCAATACTAGTGATCACGATGAGAGTGATGAGAGTGATGAGGATGGTGTTAATGTTGATTTCACTTTAGAGACTTCAGTTGATACAAGTGATTTATTGTCACAGTTGGCTAATTAAATGCTTTATTTAATTACTAAGAAGTTTTAAAAATCTCTATATTACATCAACAAATCTTTAAATCATCGAAAAATATTACTCAAATTTTGTTTAAATGAAAATAAAATTGTTTTTGTTTACTTTAGTATTTATTTATTCTTCCACCTGATTATTTTTATTTTGCTGTCTCAAAGGCATCCTAAAAAAGTAGAGAGCAGACTAAGTCCAGATGGCCAACAAATCTATAACAAGGTTAGGGCCCCAGAGTGCAAAAACTGCAAAAAATTGAACAAGGGAGGAGTTTTGTGTCATGTGATAAGTTTCTGCTGTTTCTATTCTTCTAAAATTATTTGAAGACACCAGAACTTATTTTTAAAATGCTTGTTCTAGTAAGTGGTGGATTTTGATCAACGCTTTTTATTTAATTACTTAAGTTATTAGTTTTAAAAATCTTTAAATATATTTTTGTTCTTACTTTAAATCAGTTAAACATCAAATCCAATAAAAACATTCAACCTAATGCTAGTTTGAATATTTAGCTAAGGACGGGGTTGGGAAATTAAAAAAATTTGTCTGGTCTTGCGACTGAACAAATAACATTTTTTAACTTCTCTTATAATTTCGCTAACAAATTTATTAAGTAAAAAAAGTTGTTTATTGCAATGACGTCATTGGTATACTTAACAGTGTACTTTACGGTATACTATACAGTAAACGGTATACTAAAATTTTAGTATACCGTAAACTAGCGATCCCTATACGGTCCGAATTAAATGTAATTTTCAGACCATAACAAAATAACAAGGAAAATCAACATCATAAAAACATGTCGAAAGCCGCTAGTTTATAAGAATCGTTCTTATATTTATATATAAATATATACTTAAATGAAAAACTCAAACTTTTTTTTATTCTTTTTGTATTGCTTATATTGTTTTTGTATTTGTTGTATTTTGTAATTTTTTTTTTTGAAGTCATTTTATGCCAAATGGACTCAAATTTTAAAGTTTCAACTCAAGTCAGTTTATATTATTGAGAAAAATTTGACTATTTCTATTTATTGATTATTTATTATAACTAAAAATTTCAGCGTAAAACCTATTTGTGATTATTAAGAAACTGTTTTGTTGTTTGAACTTGTAATTTTTCAATAATAATTTTGTAAGTTTTATTCATACTTTAAAATGCTTTTGAAAGAAAATTTTTTTTATCATAATCAACTCATTTTTTGTATTTGTATTTTATATGTTTGTATAAGTAAATAATACAAACATATAAATAAGAATACAAACATGCAACCGAATGAGTAGAAAAAGTCACTTTTGAAGACACTTTTAAATATAATTTTCTGATGTTGATGAAACTTTTAATTTCACATTTTATCCATAATGGTAAACCTAAAAAGCCTAAAAACTATTTCACAGATCTATAATGTTGATTTTTATGGGTCAATATGCAAAATTAACAACTTTGATTTTTTTGCTTTTAATTTAAACCACCTAAAACCTAGAATTATTATTGTTAATTGTATATGTCTATCAAAAAACATGTAAATGTAGTACAATTTATGGTTTAAAACTAGATAACAAATTAAAAACTAATAATTATCGTTAATGTGACACAATGATCGCAAAAGGTGACCAAAGGAGCCGTCCAGTTATGTGGACCTGGGAGATGTGAAAATAAAAGTAGATAGTAGATGATGTCATTGGGTAAGAATCATGAATGAATGTAAAGACTATTTTGTAGGAGGAATAAAACTTTAGGACTAAAAAAAAAAGAGAAAAAGTGAACAATAACTAGAGAAAAGGTGAACAATAACTTACGCTCTAGTCATCCTAAGCAAATGATAAAACTTTGAGTAAAAACTGGTTTATGAGTAAACAAGTATGTATAAATCTGCTGGTGTATAAATGGCTGTCATAACTAAAAAAATGGTAATAAATAATGGTTCAATATAAAAAGGAAAAAAACAAAATTACGCATACTACTAAGTTCTTACTCTGAATCATCAGATTATGACGCAGCACGCTAACCACCACACTTTAGTGTCGATATGTAAATGTGAAAAAAATGTTTATAACTCTGGTATAATTAATGTACAAAACAGTAAAAAATAGGAAGCTGACAACTCCCTGTGTGTCAGCAAAATATTAAAATATCGTAATAAAAACAAATATGTAATAAAAAGCTACCAAAGCGTTAAAATATATGGATACAAGAGGTAAAAAAATGTTGGTGCCATAATAACCAATAAGAATTAAATAATGGATAAATGGTGATCCTTCTCCTCGGGAATGCACTGCAATCACCAATGTCGTTTCAGGGAGCCCAAGATCTGCTCTAACGCCACTCATCAGGGGCATGTCCTTGCAACAGATCTCATTGCCTGCACTCTACGGGATATGTGTATAAAAATATACACATATCCCTACATACATATATACATACATACTTACATATATACATACAACCATACCTATATATACATACATACATAAATATATACATACATACATACACATAAACATATATATACAAAATAAAGTATATATAATAGAAACAATGACAACAAAATAAATAAGAAGCAGCAGATAGCACATAGTACTTCAAAGTGACTTACCATTTTTATGATTACGATATGCCTAATATATATCTATGTACATATATATGTATATATAAAAATTCACAACTCGTAACGACATGAACTAGGATAAAAATAGTACGTGGTAAAGGTATACAAACATAGTGCAGAATTTAGAAAGACAAATTGTTCAGAGAATGTAAATCTCACCTGATAGGCGGAGATAACTCCTAACTGAAAATAGTTTTAGATAATAACAAATTGATAGATTGATAACTCAAGATAGCCAGCTAATACACAATATAATTAGTAGATACACCAGAAATGAATAAAAATTTAATATGTAGAATACTATATGAGAGTAGACTAACACGGTCATAAACGCGTAATTGATCAAAGGGTGTCTAGCGGACTAAAAAAAGAGTTGAAAAACATAGATTGTTTACATAATAAGCATAAGAGCGCTATTGAAGACTGTATAGTGCAAAACTAAAACAAACTGACTTATCGACGTCAAATAAAATTCCTTAGGATCAAAAAATCTAACAATATGGTAGTTGAATACAAAAACCGAAATACATGATGTAAGCTATTAGAGTGATTAAAAAGTAATAAAAATAAAAAAAATAAAAAGTTAGTAAATAAAGTTAGTAAATAAAATGGCTCATCTACCACTTAAAGGATGGCAAAAGTGATAAAAAAATGGATCTGTCTTGTAAAGAATGCATGCTAAACTTAATCTATTTTTGTCTTATTTTTTGGGGCATTCCGTATGTAAAAAGAATATTGCATTGTTTGATCGTTGTAGTCCTTGTGTAGTTAGTATGTATTATATTAGATATAAAATACATTTATTGTGATAATTTATTTTTTTTTTCTAAATAAAATATAGGTAAATCATTTTCTTTTTTTTTCAAGTTTTTCCATTCACATGGACAAGGATTCATGTTTATATATCTCATAGAATTGAGATGTTAAAATAAAACCATCTATGTGAATGGTTCTCAATGTTTCTAGCTAGCCACAGTAGTTGGTATATTCTTTTGTTATACTTGGCGAGGTTTTTTCTAAAGCCGAGCATTAGAAATTTGAATCTTAAGTATGGAGAGCGCTCATTACCAATGAAAAAATAAAGTGTCCGTTTGAATGCTTCAGTGTTGGTTGTAGTTATGTTGTAGAACATTATCTGAATGGAGAGTGACCAGATATTCATGGGGTGTAAGCATATTCTATTAATTTTTTTATAAACAATGTATCGTTCTCTATCAAGACTGGCATTAGATGATGCGCTCGCATCCTCTGTGGCTTAGTAAAGGAATATCTCTATAGCATGTTCATCCTAAAATAGCAGTTAAGTGTGTAAATCATGAATTTTTTATGTAAATATGTCAAGTGTCTAGTATCTTCGTGTAAATATGCCTTCTTGTTTAAGGGGTATTCATAAAAGCCCTCTAGTATATTCTGGTGTTTCTATAAGCGTCAAATGAGTAATATTATAACAATTTTTACTTATTAAATTATCATATAATAAAGTAAAAAACATAAACAACATAGGTGGTATATTTTATGCGTAAAATAATTAAAATACAAAATTGTAACATGCGGGTGGGGGCAGTACGTACGTCAAGTACGTCCTACCGGCTAAATATGAACTGGAGCAAACAGTGGATGTTCAGTTATTGTGACTGGCAGTGTATTTAGTGCGAATAAGTCTATCTCTGAGGGAAAGTGTATTAGCGTGTGTGAGGGTGGGTGCTGGTGGAAACAGTGTGCAGAGTTCTGGGTCATTGTGGAAAAGGTGCCAGTTGTGTAATATCACGTTGTTGATATGTATACTTTGTTGATTGTAAAGTGTGACTATGGGGAATATGTGGGTATCATCGAGTTCTTTGTTTTTGTGGATAAGATCTTCCTGTGAGTATTAGGGATTTAGTGATGTTCCTGTTGATGATATCAAGATGGTACCCCTTAAGAACCAATTGGCGTGCTATTGCGCAGAGTTAAATAGGTGGTGGGAGTCAGATATAAGCCTATTGTACCCGTGATATGATGTAGATGGTATGAATTGAAATGTAGGTGGCTCATTGTGTTGTTACAACCAAACAATAACAAAAAATTCAAATGTAGATGGATATAAACAGTGACCGTTTATTAACTTTTTGCTAATGTAAAAATTTATTTTACAAAAGTATTAAATCATGAATGCATCTTTTAGTGACTTAAATCCTTTTAAACTTTTTACAAAACAAAGTTGTGAAAGTTTTATGATAAAAATTTTGGTAATGAATTTGGCAAACAAAAATCACTTTACAAACAAAAAACCACAATAAAATAATAACAAAAATATACATATTTTTTTATTTAACTAAAGAATAAAGTTTTAAATATTTCATTTTATTCTGTTTCAACAAATTACTTTCGACCATAAATTTTATGAATGTACTCTATTAATGCTTTGCAATTAACTTTGCCATAGCCATGAATACAAGATAAAAATGGGTCTGGTAAATTTCTAAAATTTCTTTCATTTTTATTTATAATCTGAACATGTATTATAATTAATTATTCATCAATATAGTTATTGTGTTTTTTACATAAGTTGCATAATATAATACAAGGATGAACTATTGCTTGAATTTTTTTAAATCTTAAATCAATTTTTCTTAGTAAAAAACTTTCTATTGAGCTTCAAGATGACCAAATACTCATTTTATAGACTTGTGTGTAGTTCTCAACCAACTGTTAAAAATAACTTTTTCATTTTTCTTGTATCATACTCCTTCATACAATATGGAACTTGGGAGATATAGAAGATTTCAAATTGTTGTCTTCTATCAGAACAATGCAAGACCACACATAGCAAGAACCACACAGGAAACTCTGGTGCAACTACTTTAGGAAGTTCTAGCTCAACCTACATACTCACCAGATCTAGGTGACTACCACCTGATTTTGGTCTTAGACGAC